GGGTATTGTAAGCAGTAGAGTAGCCTTAGTGCTACGATCTGCTGAGATTAAGCCCTTGTCCTAAAGATTTGTTTTTTCCTGTTCGCGTAATTGGCAGGTTTAAGTTAATATTACCGTTCATCTATTAGTTTAATTATACGCGATAGAAGCTGCACCCATAATTCCGTCCCATCTAAAGCTTTTTTCTGTTAATATAATTTCTTATATAAAAATGTTCTTTTTTAAAATATATATAATTGGTTGTTTTTAAATAAAAGTATATAATTTTTTTTTTTTATAAATTTTTTAGACGTAACCTTAGGAAATGATCAGATTTACCGATTCTCTGCTTTATAATATTTGCAACAACTTCAACTTTTAATTGTTTTTTCGAATAATTTTTCTTTAATTACAATTGGATCGATGTAGCAGATATAGGAATTATAAAGTTATATATAGACATTCTTATATTGGATTCTAAAGTAATATCCGGAGTATAATAATCAATATTATTTTTAAAATTATTCAATTGGTAAGTAATTAGTGATCTCATGCGAATGCAGAAATAAAAAAAAAAAAGAGCTTCTAAAACTTACCAGATACCACATTACAAGTAATGAATATTTTTTAGTACTTGGATTAATTTTAAAATTTATAAATATATTTTATCAATTAAATAAATACTATTAACAATTTTACATTTAAATTTTATATAAATAAAAAAAAAACTTTTTTATGACTAATCGATAATGAAAAACGTTTTAAATTTTAAACACGTCAAAAGTGTATTCATTTTATTTATTTCGCCATAAAATTATAATGTGAATATTTGGATAATGCATATTACTGTTATTAATTGGGAATGATTAGTATTACCATTGGATAAAAAGCTTATTGGGGGAGCTTTGGGTGATTTTAATTTACTAAACCCGACTCGAAATTTCCTTGATCAAAAACGCTGTATACATTCTTTAAGAAGGTAACGCCAAGAAGCCTGTGTCCGGTCCTAAAGGAGGTTAAAAAGTAAATCTTTAGAATCATCTTCATTAAACATTTCAATTATAAATACGTTAACAAATAGCATAGATACCAAAATCAAGTCCCTTTATCGCCCAAAACATTCATCATCATCATCTATTTTGTCTTTGACGATAAATAAAATCTTTAGGATCAACATCCCAAGTCACACCACAATCTGTAAACTAATTTGGATTTTGATTTCACTTTACAAAGTATAACGAAGCGCCCATTTCGCTGGTAAATTCCAAATTTGGTATTGCTTCATAAATTTGTCGAGCATCGGCAGGTGGCATAATTTTTAGTGAGGTCGCGGTATCAACGGTTCCTTCACAATTTGGAAAGTTTAATGGTTGGCCATTGACGAAGAAGTTTTCTCCAAAACCTTGATTATTATCCACTAGATTTATCCAGGTAATTGGTTCAATATATCTTTCTGGATTAGTTCCGCCAATTGTTAATTCGCTTTTCGCATTATCATTACTGCGTTAAATGCCATCCACGCCATCATAATCGTCAGAAATAACATCAGCCAACCCGGTCTTGTGTTTCCATGTGAAGGTTCACAGAGTCAATAATGAAAATGTCGAAAGAGGTCGAGCATGATTTCCCTTTTGCACATAGTTGACTTGGAAATTTCTGCCGAGATCTTCGAAAAGATTATCCTTTCTTGAATCATATTGATTTTTCTCAGTACGTATAGGTGTAAGACAGTCTATAGAAACCACAAACGAATCTGTATCGAATAGTACGTCAAAATTCTGGTCGTCACCGAGGGTAAATAACTAATGTCTGGTGGTTGGTCCAAAATTTCCAAGTTTTGCAAGTGCTCGTCGATTCAATCTGCGGCGAGTGATCGATTTTTTTTAGTGGAATTGTATACACCTTAGATCGTACATGAGGTAACGCTTCAACAAATAGAAAAATTGCTATCACGAGCATAAATACGTGTAAAGCTTGGCATGATGAATTAAGATTAGTATTGAGATTGAAAAGCTTAGGCAAATGATTATATCCAAAAATGAACTTTGTTTCTTGTTTCATTTATATATAATCGAGAGAACCGAAATATTCTAACTCAAAACAAGATCCTCCGCGCAAAAAAAAAGAAAAAAAAAAAATCTTTGTAGTTCGATCATCCACTCCGAAATTATAGTTTGTCACTCGGATCCTTAGCGATCTGTTAATATTACCCCAGAGATTAAATTCACTATTATAGCGATAAAAATTACTATATAATTTTTTTTTTTCTTCAGTTCATTTGCGTCATATACAAGGAATTGATAATTGCTGTTTTTTTCCGAATTAGAATTGATTTTAAATATTTTTTTTTATTCAAGGATTAAAAATTTTTTTTCGGAAGTACTTTTGAGTGGTTCATTCAGAATTCGATATAACAATCTTTTGTTTATATTTATATTTATATAACGTTATTTCGGAATTTGATGACGTTGTATAATTTTCAGAAGTTGAATAGCTCTTATTTTGATTAAATGCTTCATTCTTGATTATTATTATTTAACAAGAACAATTAACAGTAATTTACAACCTTTTTGTTTCGAATATTTTCTATGTTCAGATTTATATATCTTCTTGTAGTGAAGTGATATTTCGAATTTCGCGTTAATAATAACCGATTATGAAGAAGTTGTCATACAGGGAATAGTATAGACCAAAAAAAGAAAGATTTTGAATCCATCATGTGCTATCGAGAGTTGTTTTCCGTGATCATACAGCGTCAGTTTGAAGGATGACGTTGCTATATAATAACTTTTTGGAGAACCTTTTTTGGAAAACGCCCACTCTTATACAATTCTAAAAATAGATTAAACATTTTTGTTATATCATCTAGTGGTAATTTTTTTTTTTCATATTTTAGTAGTTTTCTCGCTCTCATCGAAAAATAATTTACCATTTCTTCTTACATTTATATTACTTTTTGTGTTTATTAGTTTGGTGAAGGTCTTTTAGAGTATTTGTCCTCGCGGACCTCGACATAAGGCTGATTTTGTAAGCGCGCGTGATAACTTTTTTTTTTCCAAACATTTTGTGTAACCATGGAGAACAGCAACAAAGAACAAAATGGTATTAAATTACTATTAAAAATAATCTAATATGTTGTAGAAAAAATTAACCTTTTTCCCTTTATTCTTTTACTAAACTTTCTTTAATGAAGTCGAGAAACAACTGGTCGAAGCTGAAGCAGTTCATGGCTTGGATCAACAAACGGAGCCTAAAGAGGCAAAGCAAGAAAAAGCGACCCAAAAATTAGATCAGCCTAAAGGTCCTCACCATACCAGTAGTAAATTATCAGCTACCATACATAAAATGTTTCATATGGAAGGGCAAGTAGAAAAGTCAAAGAAAACTTCAAAACCTTCAAGTTCTATCGAGTCTGAAGACGAAAAATCGGAAGCTTCTAGCAATCAAGCTATTCATGATAACATTAAGCCGCGCTTTCAAAAGAATTCTAATGGGTCACACTGCCATTACTTGTTACCAAAGAGAGGTCACCGAATGCAAAATTTCTTGAAAGAGTTTGGTCACAATCTTGTTGAAGCTCAACATTCTCAAAACAAACGGCATACCGCAGTGATTGATAAACTCACCTCTAAACTTCAATCAGAATTGTCTTTGTCTAAAAAGTATGGAAAGCCCCAAGAAGTTATTGGAAAGGGTGAGTTTTTTTTAACCTTTATTACTAATATAATCTACATGATTTGGTAAGTTTGTAAACCAATTGCATTCTTTTTTTTATTTTTTACGCGATATAGGTGCATTTGGTATCGTCCGTATTGCACACAAAACAGAACCTAAAGTACCTGGCGAAAAGCTTTTTGCCGTCAAGGTTTTTAATTATTCCATGGTTATTAATCCTAAAACATTTTACGCGACTTTGTCTGATCACGTGATTTATTCTTATTGATTAGGAGTTCAAGAAGCGCAATAACGAACCTGAAAAGAAATACATAAAACGTTTGACTTCCGAGTTTTGTATTTCTTCTTCTCTACATCATATCAATGTAATTGATACATTGGATTTACTTCAAGATACTCAAGGAAATTATTGCGAGGTTATGGAATATTGCGCTGCTGGCGATCTGTATTCCTTGATCATTACTACTGGCGGATTAGAACAAGAAGAAGCAGATTGTTTCTTTGGTCAGTTGATTAATGGTGTTAAATACTTACATGACAATGGTGTTGCTCATCGGTAAATAATAAAAGCATTTTTTTTTAAATGGTAAATACTATTTATGTTATTTGTTATTTACGCCTTCGTTTTATTAAGTGATTTGAAACCCGAGAACCTTCTTCTCACTTCTGACGGATGTCTCAAGATTACCGATTTTGGTAATGGAGAATGTTTCCGTATGGCTTGGGAAACACAATCTCATTTATCACGTGGTATCTGCGGTAGTGAACCCTATATCGCACCAGAAGAGTTCACAGAAGATTGGTTTGATCCAAGAAAGGTTGACGTTTGGGCTTGTGGAATTATTTATATGAGTATGATTAATAGCAGCCTTCTATGGCGTGTCGCTAAAGAAAAAGAAGATTGCAATTTTAAAGTTTATCTAGAGGCAAAGGCACAAGGTGCAGTCTTGGTTCCTTTTCAGCGATTGAATAAAGTAAGTATAAAAATGAATCTAAAAGGATTGTATTTCCTTTTATTTAAATGTAAACCTTTTCTTTTTCAACAAGGAACGACGTGAAATAATGTCGAGAATAATAGAGCCCAACCCTAACCGTCGTATCACTGTGGAACAAATTATTACAAACGCTTGGTTCTCTTTGATTCAAATTTGCCATCGATCATCTCTGTATCCTAATGATTCATCCATCTCTAGTATGAGTTGTGGTGTAAATGTTGTAAATCAAGAAGTGACGCCAATTAGCAAGTCATCAATTTCAAACATAGTATAGCAGAGATGGAATAAAACAAACAGAAAAGTTCTTTGTATATATTTCGCTTAATTTGATTTTCATTTTAGTACGATTCCGTTTATATTAATATAATATACTTTATTCCCATGTTGAATTATTTGCAGAAAATATTAGATTTCTCAATTTTCTACCTTGATTATTTTACTATGAATTAATAGTTAATTGATACTTTGTATCGATGTCATAGAAATTATAATAGGGTAAACGAACAAATTAAGATTTTTATTTCGACATTTCTCGATATTATAATGATAAATCTCAATAATTTTGATCCAAAACAGTTATATAAAACTTATAAGTTTTAATTTTTATCTGTACATTTAGTATTTGATTTAGAACATCTCAATTATTTTAATAATATTAGTGTAAAGGAGTTGGGAGAGGTAATTATATAAAATCTAACTGAACTGAAAGTTTTTTTTTTTATATGAAAATATACATATACACATATAAACATATATATATATATATATAACCGATAAATAAAATGTCTTTTATATAATAAATGTATCTTTACTAAGGACTTGGAGATGGTGGTCGCATTTCGGAAACCTTATAAAAAAGTGAGAATAAATTTTGAGGTTGTTAATAATTATTTTTAAAAACCCAATAAATCGATTTATTCTTACCTGCATCATTTGTGGTGGACCCATAAATCTTTCAGCAGCAAATGATACACCTTCAATGAGTGCTAAAGCGATTGCACCAAAACAAGCTGATCTTGTTGCTGCACCAACACCACCTCTAGCAGCCAAAACACCACCTGTAAAGAAGCCACTTGCGATTAAATTCCATGGGTCTTCTTTTTGTCTTATTCCTTTTATTGCACAATCGAATGTTGAAAACAATCCTCCCCATACGGCAAAATTGCCGCCTAAAATTGGCGAACGAGCTTTTACTGCTGCAATTGAACCGATTATTCGCTCTCCCTAAAATATTGAAAATTGAAATTGAATATCTTTGAACAAATTGTCTAAATGAGGAGGGGGGTTTTTTGTTGAGAATGAATACCTTGGGTGAATTTTTTGCACCTTTGACGAAATGCCATATACCACCACCAATAGCTCCCATGGAAAACGCGCCTCCAGTGTCATTTAAAATTACCCATGGGCTTAAAGATAAAATAAAAAAAAAAAAGTTAGCCCAAATTCTGATTAAAAAAAATTTCGTTGAAATACTAACATTATTTTTTACAAGTAAAAAAAGTATAATACCAGGGATCGCGATTGAAATCTCCATATCGTGACATTTTTGTAATTTAATAAATTGATCTGAAATAATCGCAAGTGCTTTTTTTTACTTTGGAAGCTCTGGACAAGCTCGTTTGATAATTTTTTTTTTTTTAAAAAAAAACACACTTATCACGTGATAACTTTTATCCAGCCAATAATAGTTTAACAATTTTTTTCAGTCAGTTGATTATCGACAAATCATTTTTTCAAAAAATTTGGCAGAATTAACAAAACAAAATTAGGGAAAAGGAAAAAATTGGAAAAAGAAATTTCAAAATTTGTATTTCTAGATTTATTTAACAAAAATTATTTTTTAAACAGATATATATCCATCATAACCTATGTTTATTCTTAAAAACGACTCTGAGAGGATTTAATAAATCCTTGTTTGTTCCTTTGTTTTTTTTTTCAAATTCATTTTCCCCCTTATTTCACATCGCATAAAACGTCATAAATTCATATACAATTTTCCAATCATAATCATCTGATTATACGTGGCAATCCAAACCTATTTTGCAAAAGTCAAAAGTGTTACTTTCTGTTTGACAATAGGTGTAATCATACTTATATACCAAATTTTTTTAATTTTATAAAAAAGATTTCAAATCTGATACTTTTTATTTTTCCTTCAAATATTTAACTGCCTTTATGTTTTAATATACTTTGATTTTATTAAAAAAGTTATTTTAATTAATATATTTTAATTTTTTAATAGATTCTTACTTTTTCTTAATTTTTTTAAATATTATATTATTTGCTAATATAAGTAAGGCAAAAAAAATGGAAGATATCAAAAAAAATTATACAGGATATCATCTAATTATAAACTTAATTCAATTCTTATCATTATATATTTCACAAAATCAAATCAGATTTGAATAAAATTTGATCTATTCAATTTTTATTTTTATAGATTTGAATTGATTCAAATCTAACAGATTAGTTTAAATTCAGATCTGAATCTAAATTTAATGAATCAATTCTCAAATCTGAATTTAATAAATCAGTTTAAATTTAAATCTAATTTAAATCTGTTCTATTCTAGAATAACCTAAAAGTTTTTTTGATCATTTAATAAGAATAATAATATATTATTCTAATTGAATGATAATAAATATACAATTAAATGTTAGTGAATCTTTTTTTTTTAAATAATAATAAATCATTCTAATTGAATAATAGTAAATTAAATTATCAATTCAAATCTAATTCTAAATATTAATTTAATCTAAATCTGATAAATTTAATTTGAATCTAAATTTATTAAATTTAAATCAAATTTGAATTAATCTAATTAATCTGAATTTGTATAGAATATTACATATCATTAAAATTGCTAAATAAAATTAAAGGTATTGCAAATTATCTAAATGATAAAATTAAAATTTAGCAAATTATATTTAAAAATCTAAAATATTTAAAAAAAGATAAAATTATATTAAAGCTAATAAAAATAATGAATTTATATTAAAATTTTAATAAAAAAATTAGTAAAATTAAAAGTATAGACATTTTACTAAATATAAATGAGTTTAAACAAGTAATCTTACCTACCATAATTTGAAAAATACTAATTTTAAAGATTTTACTTATCTAAATTTAATTTTTGTTATATAATATCTTGATTCTTTTCTTGCATTTACATTAAGCTTTTAAATATTAAAATTTATATCATATTATATAATTTTCTAATCTAATTAGAATAATTCTAAAATATTAAACAATTTATAATATATTATTTATCTTTAAAAATATTAAAAGCATAAAAAATATAAATATTCAAATGCTTAGTATCTTTGTAAATATAATTTATATATTATTATTATGTAAAATATACTATAATAAATCAAATAAGTAATATTTGTATTACTAAGAATTTTAGGAATCAAAATTATTTCTAGTATTACAATTATACTAATGTATTAATCTAGATAAAAATAGGTAATACAAAACTCATTTATATCAGATTTACTATAAAATTTAAAATTATAATACAATCAAAAGTATTTTAAAAAAATAAAATGAAAAAATTGGCTTTTATATTTTCAAAATAAATAATACTTAAAAACTAGGAACTTATCTAAAAAAAGAAAAGATTACTTATAAAATTTATCAAGAAAAAAAAAGTAAAATAAAGATATGCTATTATTCAATAAAAAGCAAAAACTTTTAAAGAAAAATAATCTTATTGTTATAATATTGATTTATTTTTTCCTTTTAATTTTTATAAATCATAATAATTATAATATTTAAAAAATTATATTTACTATTTATAAATAGATTTATTATCATAATTTTTTTATTTTAAAAAATATTATTTTTACAGTCAACTTTTGATATAACAAACTCTTGATATAACAAATTTTTTGAACAAATATAATAAAAATACTTTTATTATAGTGAAATAATTTTAAAATCTTCACTATAGCCTTATAGTGAAGTTGAAGTTTAGAATATAGAATTTATTATAACAAGAGTCAACTGTATATTCATTAGTAGCTTTGACAATATCTTCATTTTTAAAGTTAAAAACAATAATTTAATATGATTATAATTATAATCAAAAAGAGTATAAATCTTATTTTTATTAGTATTATAGATATTTTCTTATAATTATTGAATTATTTTTAATAAAATATCAAAAACTAAATATTAACTTTCATCTAAAAGAAAAATAACATTTTCTTTAATAGTTAAAATAAATTTCAATTTAATCAAAATTATTTTCTTATTTTTTATCAAGATTATTTTTAATTTTTTTTAATTTAATTAATTATTATGTAATAAAATTAAATCATATGACATTACATAAATTTTTAAAAAGAAAATTGTAAAACTTATTTATATAACTATAATCTATTTTCTTAAAACTATTTTTTTCTTTTTAAAAATTTATATAAAGTTATATAATTTAATTATTATTTTTTATACAGAATAAATTAAATATGATAGAAAATATAGATTTAAGCTTTATTTCTTAATTTTTACTAAAATTTAGTTACTTTTTTTTTCAATATTTAATTTTTCTTTAATGATTGATAACTTTTTTTTTTTAATTTTCTAGTTTATTTTCTAAATGAAAACTAAAAACCTATAAAAGTAGTTTTTTATCAAAAGTGGTTAACTAATTTAACTTTTAAATAATTATAAAAGCATTTATTTCTATTTCTCTTTAAAGCTCTGAATAATTTAGTTCAGTAACCAATTTGAATTCAATCTGAAACTTTGATTCAGTTACATTAAATTTATTAATTTTAAAAATGCTAATTTGAATTCAAACTAAATTATAAACTGATAAAAATTTGAACTAAACTGAAATTTTCAAATTAATCTAAATTTTGATTTGATATATGCAAATTTTAAAAAGAATCTGCAATTTATATATGAAACTTTTAAAGAAACTGTAATCTTATTATAAACTTCAAAAAGTATTCATAATTTTTATGATTCTTAAAGAGAATTCACAAAAAATTCTCAAAAATTTTTTGTGATTCTTAAAAAGAATTCACAAGCGAATTTTAAAGAGTTTTGCAAATTTTTCATGATTCTTAAAAAGAACTTATAAATGCTTTATAAATAGTTTTATATATTGCAGATTTTTTTTGAGAATTATATATAATTGAACTGAATTTTCAAATTAATTTTAAATTTTCAGTTCAGTTTAAATTTTTTTTTAGTTTGGATTAGAATTATAATCTAAAAAAATTTTGAATTAAACTAAAAATTTTTAAATTAATTTTTATACAATTTGAAACTGATCTGAACTAATCTAACTAAAAATTTTCAAATTAATCTAAATCATTCAAAGCTTTATTTTTCTTTAACTTATTATATTTTTTACAATAAAAGAAAGTATTATTATTATAATCTTTTTTACATTTACTATAAATAAAAATTATAATTAAATAATTATCAGGAGTAATATAAACTATTATTTAGTAAGTAATAAAAGTAATATTAAAATTAAAATTAGTTAGATTATATATTCTTATTTATTATCTTTTGTTATTTCTAAAATTCTATATTTTATTTATATATTTATTTACTTTTCTGAATAATAAAAATTAAGAATTTTTTCTTAGCCTTTCTTTTACTTTATTTACTAATTTTTTAAGTTTGTATAGCTTATTTTCTTTTTATTATTTTAATAAAGCAAATATTTCTTTATTTTTTAAATAAATTTTTAATTTATTTTTTTATTAAATTATTTTTTAATAAATCTATTCAGTCTAAAAATTTGTTTATTATAATATAACCTGTTTCAATATTTAATAATTTCTCAACTTCATATTTGTATTTAATGTTTTTTTAACTTTTTTATATTCTATCTTTTAATTCTTCTATTCTATTTTCTTGCTTTTTAATCTTAATTTCTAATCCTTTAATTTTTTTTTATATTCTTTGCTTTATTCAAAAATTATTGACCTTTATTATTTGATTTTAAAATATTTTTAATATAAGTAAAAGTTAAATTTTTTTTAAATTATTATAAAACTTATTTAATATTTTTTTAATAATAATATTATCTAAATCAGTGAAACATTTTTAGATTTTTAATAGTTTTAGACATAGTTTTAGACATAGAAAAATATATCAAATTAAACAAATTGAAACTCTTTTAGTTTTATATTATGCTATATTTAATAATATTCAACATCATAATTTATGATTACATGAAATTCTTTATAGATTTGGTAATATAATTATGATATTAATGATTAGGAATTAACTATTTAATTTATTGCAAAACTTAAATAATGATGAAAAGATTAAGAGTAATCCCTTTTATTATTAGCATTTTTATTACATCTATTTTATTATAACTCAAAATTTAATCCTGTAATTTCAAATTATTATTTTCATATTTAATAAAATAGATTTTATATTATTATTATACATAATTTTAGAAAGCTGAACTTGAAGAATATTGATTAAAAAATATTTTTATACTAAATCTATTTCTAAATAATTTAAAAATAATATTTTAGATTATTAGAATTTTATAAAAGGTTATTCAAAAGAATTATATAGAGTTGTTCAATAGATTTTTTAATTTCTGTATTAATAGCATTATTAAAAAGAATATTTTCAACAATAGGATGGTATTATTCAAAAAGAAATTATTTAAAAATATTTTATATTTAATAATAAATAATTATATAATATTTATTTTTTTTTAATATTTAGACAGAAAAAATAAATATTGGGTCTAACACAAATTCATGTTAATATGTAAAAATAATAACAATTTAAAGAATTAGATTTTTATATAAAAAAAAATATAAATAATTAACTATAATTTTCCTATTATTTCTGAATTAAATGATATAGAATTTAATATTGAAAATGATGAAACTTTTATTCTTTTTAATAATGAAAATATAAATAGTGATGATGAAATTAATAATGATAAAGATTTTAATAATATCTATACATAATTTTTTACTTTGATTAATAATTAAAATAATATGGTATCAAATTGATTAGAAAGAATTGAAGATGAATTACAAGATTAAAATGATAAAATAATAGATACTATTGATACATATAATATTTCTGTTAATAATATTAAACAAATATAATATTATGCTATTAAATTACAAGCTAAATAGAAATTGAAGGTGAAAATTTAGAATTGGCAAATAATTTTGAAAATTTTATTATAGATGAAAATTAATAAATAAAGATTTAATATTTTATATTAATAATAACTTTTTTTATATATATATAATATTTAATAAATTAAATAATATAATAAAACTTAATAAATTAATTTATTAATTAATAATAGTAGTTGGAATTGGATTAAGTCTAATTGTTCAATTATTCAAATGAATTAATTGGTATTAGTACAATTGTCCAATTGTTCAATTATTCAATTAACAACACTAATTAGTATATATTTATTAATTTGCATTTTATTGAAAATTTGATACTATTCTTATTTTAATATTATAAATAGTAGATCATGATCCTATCCTATTTTAAAATACATATTTGCAAAACTCACCATTATTCATATAATTCATTTACACTTAATATTTTATCTGATAAAACCAGTATTTTCTTACTAGTTGAATTATTTTATAGCATATTTCATAATCAAAATAATAGTATTCTGGTATATAATGCTAAAAAAAAAAAAAAATTAAAAGAATACAAACTAGCAATTTTGAAAAAAGAGATGAACTTGTGTTACTTTTACTTCTACTAAAATTAGGATTATATGATCATTATAGGATCAAATTAAACAATAATAGTATAGTACTAACTTGTGATCATAGTTATCATCCAGTTTGTTATAGCAGCAGCAATTGATAATATAAATCATTGGTAATAATTAAATAATAATTTTCCCTCTAATAAACTTTATACTTAATATAATAATATAAAATTAAAGATTAAATTACATTAATAATTATATTATAAATAAAATTATCAAACAAAAAAATAATAATGATAACTTACTTGTTCGCTTTAAGGAATTGTAAAAATTCACAATATAACAACTGGTTAACCAAAACTCTCTTCTAAGTAAATTATTATAAACTAAGAGATCTTAGTAATTATAATGCATATTATAGTAAAGAAGCAACAAAAATATGTTTCTGTAAAATTATGCATTTAACAGTCAAGTCTTTATTGTGATTAATATGATGCATTATGATTTATATATAAATGCTATTGTATATGCGAAATAAATAATTTGTGTAATTGATGATCATTTAAGAAACTCCATCATATGTATTTTTACATAAAATATAATCATTTTTTTTAAAGTGCAGTAGCTTTACATTATATAAAATATAATTTCTTTTTTTTAAAAAATAGCAAAATAAAAATGGATAAGTAAAAATATAAATTTTGCTATTCCTTTTTCATAAAAAGGTTAAATTATATTATTTCTTTTAATATAAATAGTTAAATTATAATATTCTTTTATTAATAATAATATAAGTAAAGGTAACGATCTATGCTGCTGTGATCATAAGTTGTCAATTTTTTTAGAAGAGAAAATACAGAAAGCCTTAAAGAAATAAAATCAAGTTTTATTGAACTTTAGTTAAAAAACACCTTTTTTCTTAGATTTACACATATAAGGAAAGATATTAAATGGGGATAAATTAAATAATTAATTAATATATTTTGAAATTAATTTATAATTGATTATTTTAAAATAAAATATGTTATATTTAGTTTCAAATTTGTTCATTTTTGTAACAATGCAGTCAAGAATCAATTTTATAATAATATGAAAGACTAAGATTTAACTGGACTCAGAGGTAAAATATTTAGATTTGGTAAAACCCAACCAAAGAATAATAATGATAAGTAATCTGTAAACTATTAATCTAATATTATATATAAATTAATGAAATAATTGCTTATTAAAAAATTTTTTTTTATTATTTTATTTTTAAAACTTAGAAAGAATTTTCATGAAATCAACAACTGCCTCAATTACAACAATCATCATCACTATCACAATCACAACAATTATCACAATAATCTTAACTATTACAATATAATATTTTTATAAAAGAAGACAATTATTATAGATTTATTTATATTAATTAATATTAAATTATTTTTATTAATATTTTTTTTTTTTAATAAAGTCAAATATTAATAATAGATCTCTTAATACTTGCTATTAAAGAAATTGATATAGATGTCAATATTCATAATATAATATTAGTTTACATAAAATATAAATATGTAAAGATTGAAGATCTGGGATCTTGTTTGAAAAGAGAATTTATTTTTTCAGAAGATGAGATCAAATTAACATTAGAATTATCCAAAAAGTAAGTTAATTAAATTAACAAAATTGTAATTTCAATAAGAATTTAAAACTAACAATTTTTTAAAATAGTATTGATCCTAATAAGAAAATATCAATTAAGTATTTAGTAGGAATTATAAAAATTTTATTAAAAATAATTAAAAGCTAAAAAATAATATTATTTGTTATTTTTTTTTTTCTTTTTATTTTTTATAATAGCATAAAATTGAAAGTATATTAGTTAAAAATTATGCATTTTTTTTTAAATAAAAAGTTATTATTAAAGTTAAACTTACATATAATCTTTTAATATAATATGATTAAATGATTATTTCTGAGATGTTTAATTTATTATAATAGATAATATTTTTATATTATCTTAACTTATAAGATAATATTTATACATTTTTTTTTCTAATTTTATAAATATAAAATTTTTTATCTGATAATTAATATATAAATTATAATCTAAGAAAATAGTATTCTGAAACTTTTTAATCAAAATTAGGATTTTTACTTGATTTTAATATATAATATATAAACTATATTTAGTTAAAATTTTATTATATATTAACTTAATATCAAGAATAAGTAATCAGCATTTTAATTTTTTTTTATAATAAATTTAAAAATAAATTTTAGGAAATAATTAATATGATTGACATTTTAAATTGAAAATAAATAATATAATTATCTTTAATAATCTAATAATCTTATTTTTTATTATAATTTTTAGTTTTAAATAATATATATTATTATATAAATTTTATTACTCAATTTTTAAGATAAATATTTAATAATCTTTATTTCAAAATAAAATTATTAGTTTTAGACTTTGATTTTTTAGATTAGTTCCTATACTTTAATATTTTATAATTGTAATTTTAACTCAAAATTTTCAAAATCAAGTACTTAAAATTTTCTCTTTAAATATTTCATATAATAGATCAAATTATAATTTTAATTAAAAATTTAACATATAAAAGTAGCTTTTCTATTAAATTTATAGTATAAGTAAAATAATTACATTATGATTATAAAAATTTATATTATATAAGTATTTTATTTCATTATTAAAAGAAATAGTAATATTTTTATAAATAAATTTATAGCTAATTTTTATGAATAATAAATATAGTTATAAAGTAGATAAAGTAAGATATTAGTTATAGTTTTTAAAAAAGACAATAATTAATTATATTAAAAATATTGTTTTTAAAGTTGCAGATTATAACTTTACAGAATATAATATAATTATAAGTATAATAATGTTATATAATATTCCTATTATAATTAAAAGTCATTTTATAATAAATAAGTATATATTAGTTTAAAGATTTTATATTTCAATTATTAGATTCATTATATTATATAATAGAATTATATAAAATATTAAATAATACAAATAAGAATAAATCTTATTTATTTTTTTATATTGATAGAGAACTTAATCAAATTATTTATATTTATATTTAATTAGTATTAATAAATTATTTTTAAAGTAGATTTAAATTTATTAATTATTGTTAGAACTTTACCAAACCATTCTTAGAAAAATCTAATTGAACATATAATATTAATATTAAATCTTAATATATAAAGTATAGTATTAGTTTAATATATAATGAAATAAGTAATGATTTAGAAAATTAAATAAAAAAATTCAATTTTATAAAAAAATTTGTATATATTCAAATAAGAAGTTATAATTGAAAAATAAATTAGTAAATAGTTTATAAGTATTAATTGATTTAATAGAAGATACTTAATTTATAAAATTGGTAATAAAAGAAAAAATTAAAAGTTTATAGAAAATTTTATTAAAAATTAAAAATTTATTAAATAAAACAAAGAAAAAATATTAAGATATAAAGTAAAGTAATTTCTATTTGTATACAGGTATATTATACATAGTCATATGATAAGGCTGATATTAATATTACTTTTACCAATATAAAGAAATTAAGAAATTACCTATATGATATTCATATAATGATTAATGAGTAATGAATAAGAATTTTTACCAAAAAATTTCTAAATTTCTGAAATAAATAATAAAAACTAAAGATAGAGAGATGTGATACCAGTGACAAATATATATTATATAATACAGATACATATATCTTATGTAAACTTAGAAATTTTCATAAAGTAATTATATTTTTATTTAATATTTATTTTATTATCTAAATCAATGATATTAGACGAAGCTGAAATATTTAATCATATGATGAAACTGAAACTATCTAATCTTTAATAATTAAATAATGAAATGTTAAAACTTATTTTTATAGATTTTTTATAGATATTTCATGGATTTTAACTTAGAATTTTTGTAAATAAAATATTATTTATTATATTTTGTTTACTATAGATAATAGAAAAAATTAAATTTGATATTATTAGATTAAATATAATAGAGCCTTATTTTTCTAACAAAATTTTTATATAAATAATTTTATCTATAATATTAATTAATAATATTTTTTGATTATATATTTAATTATTATAAATAATAAAGATTTAATTTGAATAATAATATATTTTTTAATAAAGATAAATTATATATAAGAAATAAAATCTCTTAATAATAATCAAAATTTAGATAAAATTATATTAAAATTATAATAAGAAAAACAACAAAACTCTTTTAATATGATGAAAACTAAAACTGTTGAAACTATATTAAAAACATAAAAAGAGAATAAAAAATTTATTTAAAGGAGGTTTTAGCAGACATCTATAAGATAAATAAATAAAAATTTATTATTATATATTATAAAGCAATTTAGTTATTTACTTATTTGTTAAAAGTTAATCAAAGTTTAAACTTTAGTTAAGAGTTTAGACTTTAATTAAGAATTTAATCAAATATAAAATTTGATGAAAGTTTAATTATGATAAAAATAATTCAGACAAATATCATTAATCTAAATAATTATTATATAATTTTATTTAAATTAAATTATAAGAATTTTATGATCATTATTATTAGTTATAATATTATTTTTTTTTTAATAAAAAATATAGAATAATAGATCATTATTTAATCCAATTTTAATAGATAATAAAATTAATTATAAATAATTTAAAATGTATAATACAATTATAATAAAACAATATATATTATTTTATTAAATCAATAATAAAAAAAAAAAACTTTTATTTTTATTTATTTTTTTTATAAAATAAAATAATATTTTTTATGAAATTTTTTTATATTAAAACAATTTTTTTTTTATAAATAAAATTTTAAAAATAAAATTAAATAGTCTACAAATAGTTCTAATTTGTAGTTTTAAATAGTAAAACTTATGTAATTATAAGATAAAATCACATGAAGTTAAATAATCTACAATTTATTATACTATGCATTACATTTCTTTTAATTATCATTATATGCTATATTGCTTAAAACTTTTAATTCAGAATCAGCTGATATATATAATATAATAATTTATTTATATATAATTAATAAATAATTGATATAATAATATAAGCAAATTTACTATACTAGTGTTACAATAATTTTTTAACTTTTTATTGATATGTGATCAGTATTTCAAAATATATTTAACTATAATTTGCTATATATAATTTAAACTAATATTTAATTTATATGTATAATATGTATACATGTATATTATTTTTATGTACACTTATTATAAAATATAAAATATATATAAATTATTACTAAAATAGATAAATTATATATATAAAAAATAAGTTTACAAGAAACTAATATGATTTTTTATTAATTTAAAGCAAAATAAAAAATTATATAAGACTAAATAATGTAATACAAAGTATGCTAATGTCTGTTTTGCTTATAGCTTGAGTCAATACTGTTTGACTTTTACAA